ATATGAAGTCCAGGCGAGCTTGAACTTGCGATCCTCTTGCCTCAGCCTCTCAAGAGATAGAATTATAGTCATGTAATACAATAGGCCAAAAGCTGACTTCTAAGAGGCTAAGATTATTCATGGGAAGATGAAGGCACTGTAGAAATGCAATCATTAAACCTACGCTAACTATAATGAGATACAATACTTTCTTTTTCCCATCTAAGCTACTATAGGTTTGGTTTTTTCTGCTTTTTTCAGACAGAGTCTCACTATGTAGCTATGGTTGGACCGGAACTTGCTATGCAGACCAGGCTGGCCTCAAACTCAGAGATCCACCTACCTCTGCCTCCCAAGTGCTGGGATTAAAGGTGTGCATGGCCACACCCAGCTAATTAATACTTTTAAAATATTTTATTATTTTTATTTTATGTGTAAGAGTGTGTTGCCTGAATGTATGTGAGTGCACCCATGCTGTACAATACCACGGAGGTCAGAAGAGGGTGTCAGATTCCCCTGGAACTGGAGTTAAGGATGGTTTGTAGCCACCACGTGGGTGGTGGGAATTGAACCCTGGTCCTCTGTAGGAGCAATCAGTGCTCCTAACTGCTGAGCCATCTCTCCAGCCCTAATACTTTTAGTAAGTTAAATTTTTGGTTTCCTAACAATCATTCTAGAGAGTGGCTGGTGTGTGTCCTAATAGCTAATGGCCTAGAAACATCTAGCAGAGACAGAGTGACTCAGCAGCAAGCCCCAGGTTGGACCAGCTTCAGTTCTTTTAAGGAAGCCAGTTTCTTCCTTATCCTATAATCATTGTAGGGTCATCCAGGAACTTTAAGATTCATTTTCTCAGTACTACAGTCCTGAGAGGCCCTGGATATATGCTTTGTGTAGAAAACTCCCTTTGTGTAATAAGCCTCACATACTTGTTAAAACCAGAGTATCCACTACAAGAGAAAGGAAGAGCCCACCCAGCCAAAGTTAAGCAGCTGGCTAGTTTATTAGCATACACCTAAGCTACTCTGAATGGCTTCTCCTCAGAAAAAGAGCATTAACAGTGCGAAGGAGAAATGACTCAAGCTCAAAAACACTAAGTGGCAGCAATGACAAAGGATTAGAGGACAAAAGAGGCCAGCAGTCAAAAATAAGAGCCAACTCTACATAAGCAACTTAACTCATTATGAGTATATAAGAAATCACAAGATTATAAGCTTTTTCTCCTGTAGTCATTTGCCCTAAGCTTGTGAACACTCCAAGACTCCAACTATATATAACTTTCTAAAAACATTTAAAACCACACATATTACTAGGACCATTTGAAGGGCACATTAAATTGACGTCACACTTACTTTACAATGCGTTGTACTGATGGGAAGGCCAATGTTTGATGCGATGACCACAGTGAGGGCGGATGCCAGTTCAATACTGAAACCACTGCAGATACAGAAAGATGCTTATCAAGAATTTAAGAGTTTTCTGGTAAGCCAACACTGTAAGCAAGCATTGCTTTGTTCTAGTCAGTGACAAACCGCCATCATTTTTATTTCCTGTAACCCTGAAACCTGTTTAAACCAGGGCCTACCCTCTGACATCTGAGGGTTAAGTTCTTCTGGAATTTCATTATTTTAAGAGTTTGGACTTCTATTTTGAAGAAACTGTAAACATCAGTCTTAGCTCCCAAGTAAAACCCAATCCACTCAATATATCTTTTCCAGAAAATTCAATTACATAGCCACTGGAACTAAGCAGATTAACCAAAACGTTTAGGAGCTCGACAGAAAGTACAGTAGAAAAGGTTGTGCAACCATGAGAACATATGCTGCAACCTTTCTCCTTTAACTGGAGCTGTGTGTCATCACTGTACAGTACTTCGTGGAGAACTTGAGCACTACCCTAAACCCATCTCACCTACTCACCTAGAAGGTGTGATTGGCGTCAGGTCCTTCCCCATGGTCTGGATAACTCTTCTTCCCCAAACCCACAGACCCATGCAGATGCCGACGCCACCATAAAGCAGAAGCCATATTGGTGTCGCCATTTTTGAAGAAACATCTCCCTTGTCATAAACAAGATACAGAGCAACCAGGGGACCGATGGCATTGCTGGAAGAAAGAGGGCAGCGATGACTTTCCTGGCAGAGTTATTCCCCTCAGAACCCAATCTGCTAACGGACTGCATCTGTCCAAAGCCCAGCTTTGCTGCTCACTAGCTAATCCTGCAGAAGCCCAACGCATGAAACAGGAGACAACGAAAGCTGCTGTGACAGGGGCATGCCTGTGGTGGTCCCCTTCCTCCTACATGTGGCTTAAAGTCAATGTCTTAGGTCCCAATGAAGTTTACAAACCACCGAAATGAGGCTTAATATCCTAAGTCCATTCAGCAGCAATTTTAAGTTTTTTATCAATGATCCCACAATTGACCAAAGACTTAGCTCCCATTGAGAGACAAAGGTTCTTCTGTGAAAACATCTGCTTACATTTATCTTCTACAGAAACCTAAAAATTCCATCGTTTCATTAAGTCAGTACCTGCTATTATCTCATCCTGTCTAGATTATTCGGTGTCCCTCTGGGAGATAGTACTACCACAAGCTCATAAAAGGCTAGATTGTTTAAAAATAGACTGACCTTAGCCAGGCATGGTGGCGCATGCCTGTAAGTCCCAGCACTTGGGAGGCAGAGGCAGGCGGATCTCTTTGAGTTCAAGGCCAGCCTGGTCTACATAGTGAGTTCCAGGACAACCGGGGCTACAGGGTGACCCTGCTTCAAAAAAACAAAAAAAAAAAAAAAAAAAAAAAGACTGACCTGACGTCATTGCCACCATGGGCGAACGACCCGAAGCAGGCTGTAAGGATCTGCAGAAACTGGAAGAGGAGGGAGACTTCAGGTTTATCCTGGTCATACCATTCTTCAAGAGAGCCACTACTTCCTTTCCTGTCTCCTAGACCCATCTCGGCCTTAACACTCATGTCCATCTCAGAAGCTGAATGAAGGTCAGACACAGCATTGCAGTAGCTGGTGTAACTGTCCATCCGAATTCGCTTCTTGGTATCGGCACTAGGCCACGTCAGCTTCTCCGTTTCTTCTCCCTTCTGTTCACCTTCTTTGGCACGGAATGAATCCAGGGGCATGCCACATATTGCCATGGTATAGGAAGTGTAGCTATTGTTGCGTCTCAAGGGCTTGTCCCCAGAGTCTCCCATGCAGTCTCCCACCTTGGCCAGATGTAATTTATGGAGCAGCTCTTTGTACAAGCCTGAATCCTTATGTACAGTGTGGTACTGATAGTGGCCACTGGAGTTTATCTGATTGCTGACGGTCTGATTGAACTGAACAAGATTCCCATTAGGCAACTGCACTGCACCTAGCCAAGACCAAACAACAAGGAAACACTCAATGCAAAGAACAGCAGCTTTCTCACCTCCACTGGGATAGCGCAAAGGCATGGCAGGCTCAGCTCACCATTGATGGTGCTGTCCATGCTGGTCTCCTCTTTCAGGTCCACACTGGGAAGTCGCTCTCGTTCTGGAGCTTCCTCCAGGTCTCCAAGTTTGAAAGACACTGTTCTCTCCTCCACCACAGCCCGGAGTGGCCCAGTGGCAGGCCCCATCTCAGGAACGGGATTCCTGTTCTCAATATCCCCCAGGGACATCTTTGTTTCTTCAGGGTCTTCTTTCAAATTGTTCTTTTTTTCCATTAAGGGACTTTCAGAGGGACTAGACTTTATTTCTCCTAGAAAACAAAGGTGATTTTTGGTTTGCTTTTGACCATACTACCTTAGTCCTACATCTCCTACCCACAAAAATCCACCTCAAAATAGATGTAAACTCTAGTTAAAATTTCAAGATCACTTTCCTGCCTGCCTGCTTTATTATTTGTTAGTAACTCCTCTTTCCCTCTATGAGGGAGAGGGGAAACAACCAACTGTTGTAAGCAGTCAAAGGTAAAATTATTTTAGGTTCCATTTTTTAAAATATTTTACAAGTGTCATGAAAGTAAAATCAAGTCTGGGGAAGGGGGCTGATTGAAGAGCTTGACTGCCCCTAAGGAAATCGCCCAACTCTCAATCCAAGAGTTCAAGCAGTGAGTGACACAGCTCAGTACAGGCAACTGGGCTGAAAAAGAGATGTTTCCTTAACAATTAATTCCACATCCTGTGGCCAGGCAGGAGTATTTTCTGCTTACCATGTTCACTTACTAGCTCAGGCATCTCAAACTAGTCTAGCAGTAAAATAACATTTGTCTCTCCTCCAGATCTGAGCAAAAAACAAGGTCAGGAGCCCTAAAAGCTTCCTTCCCACTGTGCATGTACCACAACTGACTAGAGCTTTAAGGCTCCTCAGTTCAGCTGCAGTGACGCAGCATTCTTCTAATGCCAAAGCAGTCTGTGCATCCCTGTACTGCTATGCACCACTAACATTTCCACAGATGAAAGATGCAGGGAAAAGGGCTCCTTTTAAATGATCTTAACCAGTGAGGAAAGGAATACAAAATTTAAGACTAGTATTCATCAAAAATTATTGGGTATTTAATTACACCACAAAAACATGTTGTAATGACCTAGAAGATGACCTCACATTATACCTGAAAGTGTTTACTTCTCCATCTTGTGTCATAATTCTAGCACAAATACATCATGCACTAGCATACATATCTGTATTACAGTGTATATGTACATGTACTGCAGCATATACAAAACATTGATTCTAAGGTTAGGTTATACTTAAGCAGCTGAAGTAAATGTTTCCTCTATCGAAAGATTGTCACATATTCTTATGACTAGGTCTCAGGCCATTTTAAGCCCATTTAAAACTGCTACTTTGCCAGTTTGTCCAAACAGTGTATTCTTACAGATGACAAAGAGAAAAACAGACATTACTAAACTATATTACTTACGTTCAATTTTTCTCTTCATCCTGGGACAGACAAAGAACCAGACGATAAGGGCACAGAAAACTGCACATCCCACCGAGATGAGGATGGTACCCCACAGAGGAAGTTTGTCAAAGCCCAGCACTAGGAGATAAAATGGTGCATCTTGAAAACCCCAGGGCAATAGCCCCCTTGCAACAATGTGCAAACCCTCCTGGGGAGTAGAGGGCTTCCCCAAGCCAGCCCATTACCCTCGACAGTTGATGCCATCTTCTGTTCCAGAGTTTCACAGGGCTAGTAGCTACAGACCAGGAAAAAAACCCCAACAACCATCGTAAGCCCACACCAACTGGGCTCACTTAAGCACCTGCAGGGCCCAAGTGTACTGAGCTTGTTTCTTCTCTTGGCCTTAGAGGTGAAGAATCACTATACAAAGGGCCCATGACTATTAAAAAAAAAAAAAACCCAAAGCATTCCTCTCCCTACTGAGCTCCTCATTTTAACTGTCACATATGCTGATATGATCTATTTTAATGTTAAAAAAGGAAGGCATCTCAGTCACATCGTCATGCTGAAATAATTCTCTACAGAAAGTTACTACATTCTGTATACTAGCAGGCCTTCAGTAAAGTGACTTTTCAAAAGCATCATCAAAACAGATAAAGCGGGGATATTAAGATACTGGTTTTAAGGACTGCTTAAGTAGTCTTTCACAAAGGATTAGTTTACTATTAGTTCACTAACACGCCTTATAAAGAGATTTGCCCAATACTTTTCACTTGGCTCAAGGATTCTTATCTGCTTGCCACTGGCATGCCACCAAGCTCCCAGCTACTAGCCTACACTGATGACAGAAGGAAAGCACTGCACACTTTCTATTAAAGCATGGGCGATCGATGGTTGGTATGGAGTTCAGACAACAGCTTAGTCACTTGTGTTTGTTTTATTTTGCTTATTATTGCTTTGCTTATATAACTTTAAAAATGGAAGTTCTACTGCCTGGTCAAAATAATTAACCTTTGAAGCTGGAGGTGTAGCTCAGCCTTGCATGCCCAAGGCCCTAAGTTAATCCCCAGCACTGTAAAACAGACAAAAAACTACTAACATTAATTATTAACCTTTAAGAATCAGATAAAACTGAGATTCCTTCAAAACCAAAGTTCTATGGTGACCATTAATCTTAAGTTCTGATTTCAATTTTGATCTTGCAGTTGGTCACACCAGACAAAATGTACATGAAATGTAATCAATCTCTACCACAATTTAAATCTGTCTACATTCCAAGTCAAAGGGTAATTGAAATGATTCATTTTCCTTATAAAATGATCCAAAGAGTAAAACAAAAACAGCCAAGTTCCCATTTTCAAAAGTGATTGAAAGTTTCCAATCCTACTTAGCTGTAAGCTTTGCTGATACCACATAAACCCTAAGTGCTTAGAGCCTCATAGGAGACTTTCCATTCAGCATGAAGAACTATTTATAACAGAATGGAAATTCTACACACAAGCTTTTCTTCACCTGCACCAAGACCAATATTGTTGTAAAATTATGTTTCTTTACTCATATTTCAAGAATGACAATGTTAAAAATATTTTGCTAGCTCTGTATTTGTTTTGGCCAGTGACTTATTGCATCATTTCAGGGATACTTAATAAACAAGTTACAATCTATTAGAACCAATTCAGGCACTGAAATCTTTTTTAAAAAACTGAAGATATAGCCGGGTGTGGTGGTGCACACCTTTAGCCCCAGCACTTGGCAGGCAGAGGCAGGCAGATCTCTGTGAGTTCAAGGCCAGCCTGGTCTCCATACTGAATCCAGGCCAGCTGTAGCTACAGGGAGACCCTGTCTCAAATCAAATCAAAACAAAACAAAACAAAAAAAACCTGAAGATATGCTGGTTGTGGTGACGCATACCTTTAATTAATACCAGTACTTGGGAGGCAGAGGCAGGCGGATCTTTGTGAGTTCAAAGCCAGCGTGGTCTACATAGAATTCCAGGACAGCTGGGGCTATAAGGAGCTGTCTCAAAACTGAAGATATGAGCAGACATAAAGACATATCTCTTCAGTACTTCAGTTATCTCTTGCTATATATACACATACATGGCTTCCCATTTTCTTCTTCTAGTGGGTGTCAGGAGAATAAAAGCCAAGAACCATCTGGATGGAAAGGTGGCTCAGCAATTAAGAATTTACAGCTTTTGCAAAGAACCCAGGTTCAGTTCTTAGCAACTACATGGTAGCACACAAACATCTCTAACTCCAGTTCTAGGGACCTTGATGCCCTCTTCTGGTCTTAGGGACTTCTGCACACACTTAGTTCATATAAACTCACCCAATCACGCACACAAAATTAAAAAAAAAAAATCAAGCCAAATGAGCCTAGATACCAGAACTGTACTGCCCTGCCTTATCCTCATAGCTGGTAAATATGTAAGGCCATAATTCAATCCATGCCTTGGTTTAGTCCCATAAATATGAAAGCAATCAACAGTTCAACCTTTATATCCTTTCCAAGCATTTTCCTCTTAGCTGCATGAATTCTTCTTCCAAGTGTAATTAGACCATGTGTTACACATCCCAGCTCTTCTCATTCAGGCAGATTCAGGGCAGCAAATTGAGAACTTAGAAACCAAAGTAGCTCCAATTGGGATTAGGAGAGAAAAACGACAGCCAGCAAACCAGTCCTAAATGACTGATTACTGATGAACAGATTAACCAACTCTCCAGTAGTTGAGGCCAATATCAATTACAGCATTTTTAGCATAGACAGGAGAAAGGGAGGGAGAAGGTCATATTATCGGTGGATCCTGTGAAGACTAAAGAGGAAAGGTCTGTAGTGATTTAGAATCTGAGCAGGTCTCTGGTTGGAAAACTACCTAGGTTAACTCAGCACACACTAGCCTGCAGCCTTCTCAAATGGGCGCAGGCCAGCCACCTTCTAGGAGATTCAGCCCTGTAAAGCAAAAAGGGGTAAATTGGGCATTTAATGCAAGTTTTGTAAATATCTTTAAATTCACATTAAAATATTTTGATGTGTACTTACTCGGTGCTCCAGTATACATGATGGAGAAGAGGTTTATTCCAACTGTGCAGGCATAAAAAACTGGCAAAGCACGCAAGCCATTGGGAACTGGGTCTGCCTGTAAAACATTAAGATCAGTATGTTAAAAGATGAAAACATCAATCCATTTCCAGAGCACCATGTGACAGACAGGGTAGGCTTGGGACTCACAGTACCAATAACTAAGTCTCCCCATAATAATTTCCAAGGCCAACTGGGCCTTTCCTACATATGCTCCTGGAAGCCTCCCTACAATAGCTAATTTCACCTTCTACCCACAGGTGGTTTTGTTTTTCTCCCTATTTTCACTAACAAGGGTACCTCTGAGGCACCCATCGGCCATCTGAAAAGCTGAGCATAGGCCAGAGGATGTACTGTACTAGAGATAAACAGACCAAGTTAAAATAGTGTTTTCTTGGTGTTTGACCTTCAAAAACTAAAAATAAAACAGACTATACACAGCCACCCTATCTAAACATCTAATCAGTATGGCATAATGCTGTACCAAAGTGCAAAGATAAAAACTGATTGTAAACCTAGTCATCCACTCAGTGAAGAGACTGTCAAGAACTGTTCTGGGCACCGAAATCAAGGGAACAAGACCAGTTTCCCATCCTCAGAGAGCTAACAATCACCTTCTACTGTAGAATGCAATGTGCTGACAAATGCTGGGAAGAAAAAAATCAAAGGGTAAGAGGACTGTAATGGAGTTAAATTGAAGGGAATTTGGAAATGAGATCAGTGAACATATGAAGGTCTCAGGGTGTGGAAAGTACAAACCATCTGGCCATTTGGGGGCTAGAAACAAGTATCAGCAAGTGCAAAGCCCCAGCAGCAAAAACAGATGTTTAAGAAACACCAAAGGCCAGTGTGACTGAAAATGAAACCAGTTCCCCTTACAGTAAATATATATATTCTTAATAATCCTACAGAAAACATCCACACCAGACACTTAAAAGAATGAGTTCAAAGATTTAATGTGATCTTAGTCACAATTCTAACTGAAAATCTTAAGAATGAGACAGGAGCAAAGGAAGTCTAAAGCTTGACAATAATCACCAACACTTTAGGAAGAGGCAGTGCCTTAAAAAATCAGTGAAAAATGGGCTGGGTGTGGTGGGCAAAACTTTAATCCCAGTACTCAGGAGGCAGAGGCAGGCAGATCTCTACTGAGTTCAAGACCAGCCTAATCTACATGGTTGAGTTCCTGGACAGCTGGGGCTACAGTGAGACCCTGTCTCAAAATGACCAAAATGAATGAATGAATGAATGAATGAGGAGAGAGAGAGAGAGAGAAAGAAAGGGAAAGAAAGAAAGAAAGAAAGAAAGAAAGAAAGAAAGAAAGAAAGAAAGAAAGAAAGAAAGAAAATGAAGACAAGCACATGGTTGCCTGCAGAATAACAGTGGCATTCCAGATCAGTAGAAATGGACCCTCAATTCAACACTCTTCATTTTAACTCTTACCCTTGTTTAAAATGCCAGCAGTGAACACCACCAAATCAGAAACCATAGCCTACAGGACTTAGCAACTGTTTTTCACCCCTGAACAACCAAAAAGGTCACACCTCAGGGAGAAAACATGGATAAGGGCCTGAGGTGGACAAGCTAATTCAGGGTTTCAAGAAAATTCTATAGACATTAGGTAGGGACTCTGCTCATCAGATTTTCAAGGGCTATCTGTCAGATAAGTAGCCTGGAGTAATAGCACAGCTGAGCCACCATGGACAGACAGTGTTACACACCTATCACCCCAGCACTGGACATGCTGGGGCAGGAGGATCTCAAGTTCAAGGCCAACCTGGGCTACCACAGACTCGGTAGCAATAATAATTATATTTAAAAATTTAAAACATAGAATATAGAAATAGCTTGGGATAGGGTAGGGGATGACACTACTCAACATACTATGAAATACAGGCTCATTGGTTTTAGAAAAAAAAAAAAAAACTTTGTAAGGGTAAAGGAAAATGGTAAAATAAGAAAGGTCTTTACTCTCTTCCAGCCTCCTCCCAATCACTCCCAAGAGGTAATCAGAGCTAGTAATCTTTTTTTGTCTTTTTGAGACAGGGTCTCCCTGTAGTCCCAGCTGACTTAACTCACTATGTAGACCAGGAGGGCCTTGAACTCACAGTGATCCGCCCGCCTCTGCCTCCTGAGTGCTGGGACTAAAGGCGTGCACCACCACACCCAGCCAGAGCTAGTAATTTTTATGAATAATTATCAACATGTGGTCTACTTATCTTTTACACATGGTGACAAAGACCACCTGTGCACACAGGTCATCCAGTCAACGGACTGCCAAGAACTATTCTAGGCCCAATACAGGAGGGAACGAGAACAAGTTAAAGCTTTACCTGGAAATGTGAATATAATGCATTCAGTTTTATGGAAAGGCAGACATCTGTTACTGAGGGATTAGTGAGCAAGTGAGAGCAAGACGGAGGACTATCCTCAAAGTCAGCACTATTTTAAACATCCTCTATCATTCTTGATCACATCCATCCCATACTCTTGTAAGAAATATGCAGTTAAGCTGGGTGTGCTGGTACACACCTGTAACCCAAGAACTTGGGAGGTAGAGGCAATGAAGTTCAAGGCCAACTTGGGCTACAGGAGACCATTTAAAAAAAAAAAAAAAAAAAGCACTTAATCATTTATCATATCTAACGATCTCCCAATAACACCGTGAGAATAAAGATACCTGGTGGATATTCCCTAAATGAGAGCTTCTGGGCACCTGAAAATCCCTCTTACCACCTCTACTCTCCCCGCCAAGAAAGACAACCCATCCATTTCATGGAGACTGAACAGACTGGGGATCTCCAAACAGAATGATCTACTTCCCAAGGATCAAAAGGGCCAATGTAAACCTTTATAAAACAGGACTCCAAGGGACTGGTGAGATGGCTGAGAGGTTAAGAACATTGGTGGTTCTTACAGAAGACCTAGGTTCAAATTCCAGCACCCACATGGCAGCTAACAACCATCAGTAACTCTAGTTCCAGGGGATCCAATACCCTCTTCTGTCCTCTGGGGGCATTGCACAACAAAGGTGCACACACACGCAAGCATAACACTCATGCACATAATTAAAAAAAAAAAAAAACTATTATTCTTCTGGTTTGTCTAGTACACCTCTAAGATATGGGGCCGTGGCAGGACCACAAACTCTTGGTTCCAAACTACTGGTGAGCCTCCAATTTAAACAAACTGCCACACACAGTTCCCGGGAATGGGTAGGCAGGCACTAATCATACCTGCTCACTGGATGAAGCAATACCAAATATAGAGGTTAGTATCAATGAACTGTTTACTGTCAGCTACTGTGCCAAGCTAGTAATTTTCAAGTGTTCAAAGTGTTAAAGAGTATATTCTGCCAGACACATAATGATTGATGATTATAGCCAATCATTCTCACAGTTAAGAATTTCCATAGAGAAAGAAATAGATCCTTCCCCAGGGAAGCTCAGAACTGGATCAGGTAAGTGAGGGTCTAAACACACTCCTACTCTAGGGATCAGGTACCCATCTCCCTTCACTCACCTTTCTACAGTTTAGGGGCATTTTCAAACAATGGACTGTTAAGAGCCACTCACCTTGGAAAATAGGACAACTTTGTTCCTTAAGAAAACAGCATTTCTTACTGTAGCTCAGTCCAGTGCCAACACAGTCCCTTGTTGTCTACATTTATTGGAGTCAGAATCTGACTTCTTAAAAGAAATGCTACTAGGTCTCTCAGACGGAATTGTCGAATAGGAAATTTAAATGGCTTTTTGATCTTTTTTTTTTTTTTTTGACAAAAAAAAAAACACCAACAACCTACCTTTACTCCATCTTTTTACTAGAGAAACTGGAGTCACTAAAGTAAAGGTCTCATCTAGAAGCTTATAAACTAGTTGAAAACCAACAATGTAGAGACCTATTTAAGTGGCAGTTTAGAAAAAGCCACAAGGGAGGGTATTATGACTTGTTGAACTGGAGGCTTACAATTTCAACTGGCCTACATATATTGGTGGTTTAGATAAAGTGGTAATCTGCATCCAGCTAGACAAAACCACCTTAAATAAATCCTTATTCTCACCCCTAGTTTCTCTGATTTCTTGGCACCCCAAGGAACTACTTTGGGCCTTCCTGAATGCCCTTTGGGGTATTCAAAACTTGCTTTCAGAGTTCAACAACATACAGAAGGTAGAGAACAAAGAACTTTTTTTTAACTTTCCAAAGCCACATACTTACACACCAGTCACATCTCTAAGAATGCCACCGAGTTTGAACAAGATTGAATGTGATTCATGGAAAAGTCATAAGAAAGGTTACCTTACGGAGGATGAATGCACGAACAAGGAAGAATAAAATTCCAGACATAATACCAGAAAGCAGGGGGGAGACGAACCAAGACATCACTGGAATAGAACACACACAAAAAAAGTGTCAACTGAAACTCAGGAAGCAAAAGTTCCTGAAATATTAAATATTCCATTTTCCAAACTCTTAAATCTGTCCCTCTACTTTACACCATGTACTCCCCAAACATAGTATTATGGCAACATATGACAAGAATAAAACCTAACATACCAATTTTTATTAGTTCAGACCACTTGACACCCTTCTGCCCCTTTGCCACGAAGGAGAAACCAATGGTTGCGCCGACAATACAATGGGTCCCAGAAATGGGGAGCTTCAAAAATGAAGCCACTAGTTGCCACACAGCAGAACCTGAAACAGAGTCAAATTTCGTTAAGTAAACGGCAAAACTATTATATAAGCTGTGGGCGCTACAGGAAATACTCTAAAAGGTTCAGCACAAAAATGGAACCTCCCCAAGATACAAACTGTGTCTCCCAGCACGAAGAGCACAAGGTATAAAAAGAACTTACCAAACATAGCACTGACGGAGCCCGCCATGAGCAGCCCTTGCGTCCCGTTATACATCTCCACGTCAATCAAGCCCTTCCGGATGGTTTCGCTCACTTTGGCCCCCAGCAACACCGATCCCACGGTTTCAAAGACACTAGCTAGGATGCAGGCTTGCTTCAGGGTCACTACACCTGAGCCCACAGCGGTACCAAACGAATTTGCTACATCATTGGCTCCCACGGAGAACGCCAAGACAAATGCAATGATGAAGCCCAGGATGAGCATCCATAAGTAGTCCACCAATGGGGCAGAAGCAGCGGTAGCAGCCAGCGTACTAGTAACCTGCGGTGCCACGGTAGATGCCATTCTCTCGAGTAGTGGTTCTTTAATTAGAGAATTACTGAGCGGCTTTCAAGATGTGTAAACGGAATATGAGGTATCAAAAATGCTATAATAAATAGTATATATTATATAAAATTAAATACTGTAAACTACGGCACAGAAACCGAGCTGGGGAGTTACTGCTATACGCTGGGTTTGGGCGTCTGTTGTCTGGGGTTTCTTTGGCTCTGGAGGGCTACAAGCACGGAGCAGAATTCCATGGCGGATTAGAGAAAAGGACGCAAGTTCATCCTGGGGGGACGAAGTGGGGAGAAAGTAACAATAGCGGCGCATCCCTGGGAAGCCGGCAGCCCGGGACTCTGCTCGGTCCCCGCGGCGAGGACCCCCCCGACCCCCGGTCCCAGGAAAGAAGCGTGAAGCTTGGGGCACGTGGCGATCGCTGTGCCCCCCGCCCGAACTACCAGCCCCGCCGGCTCTTGGGTCGTCAGCCCGTGCGCGCCCTCGGCGCGAAAACCGGAAAAGAGCCATTCCCGCGCGCGCTTCGTGAGGACCGCCAAAAAGGCCCGCTGGCGGGCGTGGGGGGAGGAGGGCCGGCAGCGCAGCGGGAGCCCGGAGCCCGGAGCCCGGAGCCCGCAGCTCATACCCACACGGCCGCTCCCACACCCCGGCTCCAGGAGAAGAAAGAGCCTTTGCCAGGCGGCGGCGCCGCCACTCACCAGAGGAAACAGGGCCGAGCGGAGACCAGGGGATCGAGGCTACGGCGGCCTAATGGAGTTTCACACGCACCGCCCGAGACTACCGCACAGGGGGCTTACGACCCACCCGAGAAACAGCCGGGGTTTTCAGCAGCAGAGAAGACGTTACGCGCAGCGCGCGCCGGCAGCCATCACTCTAGCCCCGCACGCTGCCCACCCCTAGTTATAGCGCGCCCCACGTGACCCACCGCGCCTCGCGGCGGCTCAGGCCCCGCCCCTACCGTGACGCAGCTCCTGGCCGGGTGAGCCCAGCGGTGGCGCTCATTGGTCAGATCGCCCCGGTGGCCCCGCCCCCAGCGGAATGCAGGTCCACGTGGGACAGCCCAGCCTCTTCCCTGCAGCCCCGCCCAGGTTCTCCTGGTCGAGTCTGGCAGCGCAGGCTGGTTGCGGGCGGAGACCGGAGTACTTTCGCCTGGCCCCCCGCAGGTCATCACGCGGGGATCCGGAGGTCGCAGCCAAGGTCATTCCGCGTTTCTCCCACGCGGGCCCAGTGTTTTTGTGCGCGGTAGGAGCCGGGCTTCTGGCCCGGCTCCCCCTGTCTGTTCCGAGGTGATGCGGAGGAGGCTGGAGTCCTGGCTCCGTGCCACACCTGTGACTTGTCCTTGGCCGGACAGGCTCTGCCCGTCGCCTGGCGGGGGTGGGAGGGCCCTCACGTGGTCGCCTTGCTCCCGCAGTCATGCACTTGGGTGAAAACTGAAAGATTGAAGAGTCACGAGAACCCGCTTGCGCTCCCATTTGTGCACAGAACTTCAGGGTAGCTGTGGGTCATTAATTTCCCCCTGGCAGGCCTGCGTTTTTCCGAGCTGAGGCTGTGGCGCAGCGGAGAGGACACTGTTTGAGATTCAAATTCTGACTCTTGCTGCACTGTGTCACCTTGAGCAAATCCTCCGTGAGAGACCGAGTTGTCAAAGTGAAATATGAGCGGTCCGTGTGATTGGAGAACGGATTAGGATTAGGAATTAAGCGTAATACAGATTCAATTCCCGTTTCTGCTCATCAGGGCTTGTGATCACAGGCAGCACTAACTCAGGTATTCTGGTTAACAAGTTCTTACCAACTTGGGTTGCTGGTAGGGGGGCGCGGATAAATGAGGTAAGATGTGCGCATGTGATTGGAACACCCTAGGTCTTCGGGAAATACTCATTTCCGCCTTTCTTTTTCCGTGAATATGCCTGTTTGAGGATGTAGGAAGGGGTGGAAGAGGCTGTTCTCTTTGCATTCTCGAAGTTTCCTTTTGAGATGAAGATTGCTTCCTGGTCCCCTACATGGGATATGGTGTCTTTATGTCTTTATTGTTCTGTGCATTGGGAGGCTTTTCATTATATTGCCTAAGCTCAAGACTGAGCAGTTGTACCTCAGATACCTTAGGATTGTAGTGGGATTAAAGTATTACAGCCATAAATACCGGGTTTAGAATGCTCTGGAGCCCTCCCTGCATTTTTACTCTCTCCGAAGGTAAGACACTAAATAGCAGAAACAAAGATGTTGTAAACTGTAACTTCACAACTACGTGGCTTCTTAACCTACCCAGAACATCTGGAAGGGTGTATAAGTTGTAACAGGTCTCTAGATCCCAAGGTCATGACTGGAAAACAAAGTTCATGTTCCAGAGCACTGATCATCGATCTTCAAATGTAACACTTTCCTCTTTTACTTGACTTCAAGGTTATAAAAACATTGAATAAAAGGACTGATTTGTTAAAGGCCGTTAGGATTCTGCCAAGTACAACAATTTTGAAAAATAATTATTTGTAAAAAAAATTGCTCATGGGTAGTCCCACTATGGTTTTTGTTTGTTTGGTTGCTGTTTTTGTTTTGTTTTGTTTTTTGTTTTATTCTATTCATTGTCTTACTTTTGCTTCTTGAATTTGAGACAGCCAGGGTGGGGTAGCTATGAATAAGGTCAGGTCAAGGCACTAGAGCCCAATCTTCCCACAGGTTTGCAAGATACACAAAGAAGAGTGAGGTTCAAAGAGAGGATCACTGGGTACAGTAAGTACTCTGAGACCTGGCCTTGTCTAGGTTGGGACTTCTATGTTTTCAGATGGCAAAGTATCTCCCTGCCTCTGGAAAGAATTTAGTGTCTTGAAATGGGAAAGAAGCCTGTGATGGTTAGTTATAAGTGTCAGCTTCACACAACCTAGAATCACAGGGGAAAGAGACTTTTAATGAGGGGTTGTCTGGATCAAGTTGTGCTGTGGGCATGTCTGTGGGGATAGTCTTGATTGCCTTAATTGATGTGGGAAGACCCAGTCTGAAACTGGGTGGCCTGTTCCCTGTTTGGGGGCCGTGAACTGTAAGTGGAGAAAGCCAGCTGAGCCCTGAGCATGTGTGCATTAGTTTTCTCTGCTCCTGACTGTGGATGTGACAAGACTACTTCAAGTTCCTGCCTTGACTCCCCCAATGATGACTGGAACCTGGAATTATGAGTGCACTAAAATAAACCTTTGCTCCCCTAACTTCTTTGTCAGGGTATTTTATCACAGAATCAGAAATAAAACAAGGGTATGAAGCCCCTAGCTCATGCATAAATGGCATTGATTCTACTTTCTCTCTGAATGCTGGGGAACGTGGTCAGAGACTCCAGGGTAATCTAATCATGTTAGAACAAGGGCTTGTTACAAACATGCCCAGGGCTTTAGGGAGGCTGTTGGTACAGTGGTTAAATACAGAGCCTGAAGCCAGACTGCTTGTTCGGCATTTTACTAGTCTCATGACCAGGACAAATACATCCTCCACCTAGAAACTAGAATCTATAAAGCCTCATCTATAACAAGAGGAGAGATGGAGAGTCCCCCCTTCACAGGGCTTTTGGGAGGAATAAATGAGTCCAATTCTGCAAGGCTACTCCTAAGGGCCTTGCATATCCAAGCACACTCTCTCTCTCTCTCTCTCTCTCTCTCTCTCTCTCTCTCTCTATATATATATTTAAATTCAGCAACTAGCTGAGGGCTGATAGCAGAGCCTGTGTTTAAAGTAAAGTGCATGTTGGATGACCACACAGCACCTTCCTTTCCCCTGCTTCAGGGTCACATTCTTTCAAACTTCTTGCTGCTGGTTAAGAAAGAAGGGCCATGCAAATAGTGCTGCTGCCAGAGGGATAGGGGCAGCAAACTGACGGGGCATGTGAGCATCCTGGCCTGGACTCTGACTGCCCACAGGACCTTTTTGTTTTTGTTTTTGTTTTTGAGTCAGGGTCTCACTATGTATTCCTGCCTGGCCTGGAACTCACAGAGACCCACCTGCTTCTGCCTTGCCAATGGTTGTTTTTGAGGCATGGTCTCCCTGTAGCCCCAGCTGACCTGGAACTCACTGTGTAGACCAGGCTGGCCTCAGTCTCACAGAGATCTGCCTACCTCTGCCTCCCAAGTGCTGGGATTAAAGGTGTATGCTACCATGCCCAGGTTTTTGTTTTTGATTATGTGTGTGTCAGTGGCTAGATGAGTATGCCCACATGAGTTCAGATGCCCCTGGAGACCAGAGCCATGGAGTCCCCCTTTAGCTGAAATTACAGGCAGTTGTGAGCCACCCAATGCCAGTGCTAGGAATCAAGCTTGTGTCCTTTTCAAGAGCAATACCCACTCTTAATTGCTGAGCAGCCATCTCTCCAGGCCCTAAATAATATTTTTGTTTTCTTTTTTTGCAGTGCTGAGGGATCAAACTCAGTACCTTGTAAATGCTAGCCAAGCACTCTACCACTGAGCCAAACCTCAGCCCCCTGCCCACAGGATCTTAATGAGTTACTGAGCCCTGAGCCCAAGGTCCTTCACCCACCTTCACCATCAGAGGACAGAACAAAACAGCCTACCCGGTACTGAGAGCGCAAAGCTCTGTGGGTTAGGACTTGTCTTAGAGCTATTTCCACTTCTCACTAATGGAGATGAATGGAGTTGAACTTCTACCAAAAGCTAGGAAGGCTGACATTGCAAGCCCCTCCAGATCTATGGAAGTCCAGACAAAAGGAGGAGGCAATGCATACCACATGTGCATTTTCTGAGCTCAGAAAGACTGTCAGGGAAATGTATGTGAAGTAGCCATTTGGTGTGTGTGAAGTAAGCATCCTGGAAAAAGTCTATTGGGAAGAGAGGAAGCGCAAGTGGGCATGTGCAGCTAAACCAGGAACAAAGGCAGTTTCAGATGCAATCATAGGACCTGAAGGGAGCAGAGGAAGGGAACAGCCCTGGAAGAGAAGGTAGGAACCTCTTCTGTAAGGGAGACCCATCTCGTCTGCTCTCCAGTCTCTTCCCTGTCTCCAGATAAATGGGAGAATTATAGTATCTACAGTACAATTAAATGCTTACTGCTGGTTGTGGTGGCCCACGCCTTTAATCCCAGCACTCGGGAGGCAGAGGCAGGCGGATCTCTGTGAGTTTGAGGCCAGCCTGGTCTCCATAGTGAATCCAAGACAGCTGGGGCTACAGGGAGACACTGTCTCAAAAAGAAACCCCCCCAAAAAAATGCTTACTATATGCCAGGCACTATTCCATGTCCTTTGCATGTGTTATCGCATGCAAAAACACTGGATAGATGCTTTCATCTTCTTTTACAGGCAGAGGAACTAAAGCACAGAGCATGAAGGCACAGTTAAATCAGAGAAGCCCCTAAGAAACTTCAAGACTTTGATACTTTTCCCAGAATGCCAAGAAGTACTAAGTATGGTACCTCTAGGTGTCAACTCTTCTTTGCGCTTTAGTTAACACATTTATTTCCCTCATCATCTTTATTTGACTCTTGCATTTACAGCCTGTATTTTAAGCCTTCTCAAACCTTATCGGAATAGAACGGGGCATTTCTAGACCTGTCTGAAAGATTGGCCCCAGTTTCCTCATAGAAAGAAGCAGGAAGTTCTAGAAATAAAGTTATAGCCTGACCATGTCTTAGAGTTACTGAAAATTCTGTTCTCTTGAGTCTTCCCAGAAAAGGAAACCTGTCTTGCAAGGTAAAACCCACCTGTGAGGTTGGGGAAATGGCTCAGCGGTAAGAATGCTTGCTGTGCAAATATATGAACCTGAATTTAAATCCCCAGTACCTATGTAAAAAGCCAGGCATGGCCACATGTGCCTATAACCTCAGCATTGGGGGTTGGGGACAGGGAGCAGAAACAGGTGGATACCCAGAGCTCCCTAGCCAGCCAGCCTAACCTAAATGGTGAGCTTCTGATTAAATGAGAAAAATGGTCTCAAGGCAATAAGACAAAGAGCAATAGAGGAAAACACCAAATCTCCTCTGATCTCTGACCACACACATGCAAAAAAAAGAAAAACACTACCAGTAGTCACTGGGGATGCAGAGACAGGAGGATCATGAATTCCAGGCCAGCCTGGGCTACACGTAAGACCCTGACTCTTAAAAAATATAATACCAAGAAATATAATCAGACCTAGACAGTTGACTCAGCAGTTAAGAGCACTTGCTACTGTTGCAGAGAACCCAAGTTCAATTTCCAGCACTCACACAGCTGCTCACAACTGTCTGTAACTCCAGTTCCAGGGAATCTCACACCCTCTTCTGGCTTCCGTGGGCACTGCATGTGGTGCATATACATACAGGTAGGCAAAATACTCATACACATAAAAATGTTTTTTAAAAAGTATTTTTTAAAAAAAAAAAAAGATTTAAGGAAAGACCCCAGTCACCACCACTTCACTCCCTGCTTTGGATGCTGCTGGCCTCTCTGTCTCCAGACATTTCCCATCTCCCTACACCCTGTTACTCAGGATTGGGAAGCCAGTGTCTGTGGCTCTATCACCATAAAGTCGACAGGGACCCTGGAACCTGAATTGGAGGTGGGATACTTTCAGACACCCAGCAAACCCTAATGAGTACAAGGTTGAGGCAAATCTCAGGCCAGCATCCCACAGCAAGAACAGCTGGATTTTGGCTGTGCCAGGCAAACTACTGGTCCATGTCTCTGTCAACACAGGAGTTGGCCCACCCACTCCAGACTTTATGTGCCTCTTCCCTGACTGCTCATCATGTGGCCACTTCCCTTTGGACTGTGTTCTCACATGTGGGTGTGATGTGGCAGAG